GTTGTTCTCTTTTCATGCCATTTGTTAGAGCCACGGTTATGATACATGCTGTCTGTAAAAGGTCAATTAGCAGATTCCTCAGGATATTTAAAGTTCCATGTCACCATCTAAATGTCATGTTGAAGATGGAAATATTGTTACATTTGGGAGAATTTTTGCCACAAAATAGTCTATATGATGAAAAATATTGCAGGTCAAGAAAGAGGGAGTGCTAGGGAATTTTATCTTCCTTCTGGAGGCCTACGTTTGTGTCAGTCCAGATGACTGTCTGTCATTGCAAGGAAACGGAGTACTGTTTAATACTTGGCCTCTTTTCACTGAGTGACCCACATGAACCAGTGTGGAGTACAAGTGTGGAATAGTAGAGAGGACAGCTTTTCAAGGTTTTTGCAACAAGGGAAAGGCTGCACATTAACTGTGGTATATTCTAGGAGAGATTGGATAGCCAATGGGACAGGTTGTTCATGCTGGTGAAGACCAGAGAGATCAAGATGAAAAGCCCAGGTGGAGAGATGACCTTTTACAGAGCCTGGAAGAAAAGAGACGAAGGTAGACGTGGCGATTGAGATCTTTGTTCATGTCTGAGTTTAAAACAGAATGTTCCTGACTCGTCTCTTCAGTTTCCGCTTCAAGTAAAGCAAGGCCATCTTCTAAGACATGTGAGGGGGAATAGGTTTGGGGACAGAGGACAGTTGGTGTTTGGGGCATCAGTTGTGGGAGTGGGGAAAGGTAAAAGTTCCCTGGTAGCAGTGAGGATCCAGCCGTGGTTGGTTGAATCCTATGAACGTGTACTTTTATCAGTGTGCCTGGAGGTATTAATTCTCCACCAGTACAGAGCAACCTAGATATAGATAGAACAAAGACAGTTGGAAAGGGTCAAACATAAAAATTTATAGAGTGATGTATAGAAAGACCAAAATACAAAGATTTGGAGGGTCTGGTAAGAGTGGTTAACAAGATTCACCCTGAAAGTTTTGACAGATAAGAACAAAAAATCATGGAGTGAGTGGAAAGACCAGGAAGAAGGGAGCATAGAGGTTTCTGAGGTAGCAAAGCAGTTGTCTTAGGAGTAAGGAAGTGAGATCTTGAAGGAAAGGAGTAAGAAACATGCATGTGGGGTCAGAATATGTGTACCAGATCAGGGATCAGCAAACTTGCTATAAAGGGTCAGATCGTAAATATTTGTGGCTCTGCAGGCCATCTGGATTCTTGGCTCTACCGTTGAAGCTTGAGAGCCATCATAGACAGTGAGCAAACAAATGAGCATGACTGTGTCCTAGTAAAACTTTATTTGCAAAAACAAGTGGCAGTAGTGACCTGATTTGTCTCAAGGACTGTAGTTTGCTGACCTCTAGATTATGACCATTTCCAGAATGTGGACAAAATTAAGTAGAAGTGCTAACTGTTAGAAAACAAGGGGCTAAGGTGCTTTAAGATTAGTTTATTGACTACAAACTGCCCAGATAGAACAGACATTTAGAGAAAACTCCATGACCAACAGAATATACACTCCTTAAATGCACAAGGAACATTATCCAGGATAGATCACATGCCAGGCCAGAAAACAAGCCTCAATAAATTTTAAAAAGTCTGAAATCATACTCAGTATGTTTTCCAGTAGCATTGGAGTGAAGTTGGAGGGGTGCCTGAGTGGCTCAGTTGGTTGAGCATCCAACTTTGGTGCATTTGAGCTCCCCGTCGCTGACAGCTCAGAGCCTGACCTGTTTTGGATTCTATCCCCCGCTCCTCTTTACTTCTCCCCCACTTGCACTCTGTCTCAAAAATAAACATTAAAAATAATTGAAAAGAAATTGGAAATCACTAACAGAAAGAAATTTGGGGAATTCATCAAGATGTGAAAATTAAGTAATACTTCTTAATCTGGTAGGCCAAGGAAGTCACAAGAGAAATTAGAAAATTCTTTGAAGTGAATGAAAATGAAGACCAAATATGCCATATATGGGATGCACTGTTCAGAGGGAGATTCATAGCTCTAACTTCCTCCATTAAGGAAGGAAAAAGCTATCAAATCAAAACGATAATCTTCCACCTTAAGACAGTAGACATGTAAGAAAAAGAAACAGTAATCAGAAGGGTCTGAAATGGGCTAAGGAGATGGAATGGAATGAAAGTCCAGATAGAGGAGAAAAACAATTTCTCTGTAACAGGAGCTGAGGAAAGTAGGATGGTTTCTGTGTTTGCTGTAAGTATATAAAGTTCGCATCTTTACCACGTTCATCTGTTTTCTTTGTGAGGCTGGATATGAAGTGACAAAAAGGACACAGAGTATTGGAGATTTGAAGAACACTCCATGTGTCATATGGTTGAAAAAGTCCTTGTATGGAGTTGACTAGAGGAAACTATTAAGAATGTCAGGCCATTGAGGGTCTTTTGGAGGTTGGTAGCAGTGTATTAGAGAGGAAGTACTGATCTACCCTGTTATGTGATGCCCTCAGCTGCACTTGGGTATGTTGGGGAAGGCACAGAAAAGGCAAATGTTTGCACTCATATAAGGCCAGGATTTTTGCTTGTCAGGGGAGATGGAAAGATAAATGAGCAGGGAAATTTAGGATGTTGCTCGTCAGGGGAGATGGAAAGTTAAATAGGCAGGGGAAAAAAGGATGGTCATTAAGGTAGATAAGGATGGAACTGAAAGTAAAAAGCTAATGAATAGGAAGCAACTAAAGGGATCAGTTAACTGGAGATCACATAGACAGACCAGCCCCTCGATGGTAGGGAATCTGTTTTGTTTACTGATGGACCCCAGCCCCCAGAATAATGGCTGGCATATTTTAAGTGGAAGATACTTGTATTGAATGAATCACCATGGCGGAGCAGGAGTCATTTATTAGCAAGTTAGAATGGGAGGTTGTGGTCAGGGTCAGAAGCTTGAATGGAGATTCAGATGGAGGAGATGAAGCGTCATGAATGACATCTTGTATGTCTGACACGCACATGTAGTAGATTTTTGGTAACTGTTAACCTTTATCATTACTGTCTTTGGCCTGTTGTAGGAATTCTGTTTAAAGAAGTAAAGCAGAATCGTTTCTCTATAAGTGGATGAGTTGACCTTTCCCAAACAAGTGTCATTTAAAACCATTGGAACAATCAGGGTTGTTAGATTCTACTTTACCAGGGTGGGATCAGCCAACCAAATACTAGTAGGAATTCCCTTCCTTTCCCAGTCAGCCTTCTAGCTGTGAAAGCCAGAAGCCCTGAGTAGTTCTAATGCTACATGTTGTTCTGTTTAGTTTATCACAGGTGTGGACACTTTCATATTTACAGTGCTGTATCACCTCCCTCAAGGTATATTGACCTTTCAGTGGGCTTTCAAAGTCCTCTTTTTTGCTTTTAGTACAGGCATACCTTATTTTCATGAGTTTTACTTTATTGCATTTCACAGAATACTGTGTTTTTTACAAATTGAACTTTTGTGGCAACCCCACATTAAGCAGGTCTGTCGGCACTATTTTCCCAGCAGCATTTGCTCACTTTGTATTTGTCACATGTTGGTAATTCTTACAATAGTTCAAACTTTTTCATTTTTATCCTGGAACCAAATCTGCAGTACTTCTAAGTGATGCCAGAAGGAGTCTGCATCTCATTTAAAATCAGGGATGGCTGTTTGCAAAGGAAAAGTTTACAGAAGGAGGCTGAAATGATGATAATCTTGTTTTTAAGCAATTCTATTGTTTTTCCATTTAGCTTAATTAATCAAAGAAGTATTTTGATTTTGAGAATTCACATCTTTTTTGAGTAACTTGCCATAGTTCTTACCCTGTTTTTCACCCATACCCAGTAGTGTAAGTCCTTGTACATGGTAAATAATGTCTGTACTGATCTTTAGTTGTAAAATAAACAGCCCTCTGAATGCCCTTCGCTCTACCTCTTTACCTGGTAAATTTCTTTTATGATATACCTCAGATATATCCTCTCACGTTATCCACAGCTCTTAACATGCAAATGGACAGGCCTCTGTCCTTAGAGTAGTTCACACTGATTTCTATTACACTGCCATTATTTATTTGTCTATCTGTTCTTGTTCTTACCTTATATCTGCCAAGGAGCAGGGACTTTGTTTTATTCATCTTAGTGTCTCCAATGCCTTGTGTGTGTCTGTCATGCATGAATACTCCAGAATTGTCTGGCAAATGAGTTTGACAGCAAGAAAACACATTTACAAGTACTTTGTAGACTTAGGTTGGAAAACCTTGCCCTCTAAAGGATTTTGCCTCTTTAAAATTTTCTGCAATTAGGTGAGCAATGATTGATTATGGCTCAGTGATGCAACCAGTAGATATAATTAACTTAGAGAAAAGTTAGCCTTTTTTTTCTGTACCAGCTTATTTTATATTAAGTGTAACACACACTTGGTACTCAGTATATGTTTGTTAAAAGTACAGACATCTACCAAGACTTAACGAGGGACCATTATTGGTGTGGTGGTATTTTTTTTAACTTTTTTCTTTAGCTATATCTTTTCACTCTTTTTATTTTCTATTTCAGTTTATATATTGGGAAATATATTTTCCATTTTTAATGGAAATAAAATTCCATTTTAATGGAAATAATTTTACCGGAAATAATAGAGATGATTAAGAGAATTAAATGCTTTGGTACAATTTGGAACCAATCAGCTGGGTCAGATTGGGCCAATCCATGATGCTTTGGCGACAAATCTCAGTGGCTCAGTAAAGCAAAGTTTATTTGCTGAGGGACAACTGCAGTTCTTTTACACCCAGTGTCTCAGATCCAAACCTCCTCCATCTGTAAGTGGCTTCCAGAGTTGCTGCAACCAGGGGAGGGCAGATGGAAGAGGGTTGCAAGCTCTTACCAGCCACAGCACATGTCACTTGCCATGGCTAAGACAAGTCCCATGGCTCCAAGCTTCCTGCAGAGTACAGTGGAAAAGGGAGAGGAATATTCGTTATCTCTAACATGATATTTGTCACATTTGGGTAATTCTCACAGTATTTCAAACTTTTTTTCATTTTTTACAGTTACTGTAATGAATGCATGTTGGATCCAGACTGTGGTTTCTGCTACAAGATGAACAAATCAACTGTCATTGACTCTTCCTGTGTTCTAGTTAATAAGGCATCTACAAATGAGGCAGCCTGGGGCAGGTATGTCACTTATTGTATACCATAAGAACATAAAGTAAACTTTCAGAATGAGAACTTTTTTATGACTATATTCCCTCTGCATTTCATCAAGTCTGTACATTTCATCTTTGGGACTTACTTATTTTATAGCTGAAAGTTTATACTTTTTAATCCTTTTCACCTATTTCTTCCATCCCCTCCAACCAAACTCCCCTCAGGCAACCACCAGTTTGTTCTCTGTATTTAAGAGTGTGTATTTTTTGTTAGTTTGTTCATTTGTTTGGGTTTTAGATTCTACATTAGGTGAAATCATATGATATTTGTGTTTCATCTTCTTATTTCACTTACTCTCATTCCCACGAGGGCCACTCTTGTCACAGATGGCAAGATTTCATTTTTTTAAATATTTGAGTAATATTCCATTGTGTATATATGCCACATCTTTATCCATTCATCCTTTTTTGGACACTTGGGTTGGTTCCATATCTAAATTATTGTAAATAATGCTTCAGTAAACATAGGCGTGCTTATATCTTTTCAAATTAGTGTTTTTGTTTTCTTTGTCATAGAGGAATAACTAGATCACATGGTAGTTCCACTTTTAATTTTTTGAGGAAGCTCCATGATTTCATATTGGGCTGCACCTTTTTACATTCCCATCAACAGTGCATGAAGGTTCCCTTTCTCCACATCTTTGTGAATACTTGTTATAGCTTGTCTTCTTTATTCTTGCCATTCTGACGGTGTGAGGTGCTATCTCATTGTGGTTTTGATTTGCCTTTCGTTGATCATTATTGATATCAAGCATCTTTTCAATGCCATCTGTATGTCTTCTCTGGAAAAATGTCTGTTTAGGTGTTGTGCCCTTTTTTTTTTTTTACATCAGATTTGTTTTTGAGTATTGAGTTGTATAAATTCTTTATATACCTTGGATGTTAACCCTTTATCAGATACATCATTTGCAGAAATCTGCTCCCATTCACTAGGTTGGCTTTTTGTATTGTCAGTGGTTTCCTTTGCTATGCAAAAGCTTTTATCTCAGGGATGCAACTGTGGTTCAGTACTCCTAAACCATTCATTGTGATGTGTCTAGTACATTCACAAGAGGAAAGATAAAAACCATATGATCATTTCAGTAGATGCAGAAAATTCATTTGACAAAATACATTTGTTCATGATAAAAAACTTTAAAGTGGATTTAGAGGGAGCATACCTCAAACTGTTAAAGTCCACATATGAAAAACCCAGCGCTAACATCATACTCAGTGGTGGAAAACTGAAACTTCTCTAAATTTAGGAACAAACAACAATGTCCAATCTCTCCACTTTTATTCAACACAGTACTAGAAATCCGAATCAGACAAGAAAAAGAAATATAAGGCATCCAACGTGGTAGGGAAGAAAACTGCCACTTTTTGCAGATGACATGATACTATAAAGATTCCACCAAGTTACTATTAAAACTGAAAAATGAATTCAGTATAAAGTTGCATGATGCACAATTGATATACTGAAATCTGTTTCATTTTTATACACTAATAACAAAGTAGCAGAAAGAGAAGAAAACAGTTCTATATACAATTGCCCACAAAAGAATATAAACCTTAAAATAAATTTAACCAAGCAGATGAAAGACCTGTACTCTGAAAACTGAGACAATGATGAAATAAATCAAAGATGACATAGACAAAATAGAAAGTTATACCATGCTCATGGACTGAAAGAATTAATATCATTAAAACGTCTTTACTACTTTACTTTGGGTAAAGAAATCTGTAGATTCATTGCAATCCCTGTCAAAAGACCAATTGCATTTTTCACAGCACTGGACCAAATAATCCTAAAATTTGTATGGAATCACAAAAGACTTCAAATAGTCAAAACAGTCTTTAGGGAAAAGAACACAGCTTGGAGGTATCACAATCCCAGATTTTAACAAAGCTATAGCAATCAAAACAATATGATCCTGGAACAAAAATACACACATAGATCAGTGGAACAGAATAGTGAGTCCAGAAATAAGTCCATGTTTTTATGGTTAGTTAATCTATGACAAAGGAGGCAAGAATATACAATGGGGAAAAGAGTCTCTTCAACCAATAGTAGGGAAAACTTGAAAGCTACATGTAAAAGAATGAAACTGGACTGCATCCATACACCATACACAAAAATAACCTTATAATGGATTAGAGACCTAATGTGAGACCTAAAATCACAAAATTCCTAGAAGAAAACATAGGCAGTAATCTGATATCAGCCTTAGCACTATTTATGGATATGTCTCCTCAGGCAAGGAATACAAGCAAAAATAAACTATTGGGAGTCCACTAAAATAATAAGCCTTTGCCCAGCAAAGGGATAAGTCTTTTTCTTTCTTTCTTTCTTTCTCTTTCTTTCTCTCCTTCTTTCTTTTCTTTCTTTCTTAACTTTCTCTTTCCTTCCTTCCTTCCTTCCTTCCTCCCTCCCTCCCTCCCTCCCTCCCTCCCTTCCTTCCTTCCTTCCTTTTCCTTTCTTTTCCTTTTCTCTTCTTTTCTTTTTTCCTTTCTCTCTCTCTTTCTTTCTCTCTCTCTCTCCCTCTCTCAGAAAGAAGAGAGAGAGCATGAGCAAGGGAGGGGCAGAGAGAAAGGGAGAGTGAGAACTCCACACAAGCTCCATGCTGTCAGCACAGAGACCTACGCAGAGCTGGATCTCACAAACTGAGATCATTACCTGAGCCAAAATCAAGAATCGGACGCTCAACCAACTGAGCCAACTAGGCACCCCAGGAACAAGTCATATTTTTATTTATTTTTATTTTTTACAGATTTTTTTTAGTTTTATTTATTTATTTTGAGAGAGAGAGAGTGAGTGGGGGAGGGGCAGAGAGAGAATCCCAAGCAGACTCTGCACTAATAGCACAGAGCCCCGTGTGGGGCTTATACTCACAAACTGTGAGATCAAGACCAGAGGCAAAGTCAGATGCTTAACCAAGGCACGTCTTATTTTTTTATACTTACAAAATGAATGCGTTTATAGTTAGTGACCTCAATGGTTGCAGTTCTTTTAAACTAGTCTTTTAAACCATCTTTTAAAGTGCTTTTCATAACAGTATTACTTTGCAGTGTATACTGATGAAAGGAGGGCATGAAACATTGCAGTTGTATGTTTTACAAACTTAGAGTAGATGGCACTCAAGCCTAGACTACAGGAATTCCAGATTCCAGTCCCAACTCTGTCCTAAGCTGTAGGGGTTTGTCTCTTGAGACACATGTTCCTACATATTTCCAAGGTGCTTTCTCCCACTACCCATTAAGTGTACCAGTAATTTTCAAACTCTGAAACTTAAGAAAAGAAAATTTTGAAGTCAAGATGAATACCACTTTAAATTCTTTCACAGAATTGTTTTCTTTATGTACTTTCCTGAAGGTTAGCGAAATTAAGCAATGTAATGATAAAAGTTGGCAATCATTGGCATGTAACCATTCTAGAAAGGTATAAACCTCTCTCTTTTTGACAGATTACATTGTAGTAGGCACATAAATGAAATATTTGTATAGAACAAATATTCCCCACATTTATGAACTAATGCATATTATCTGTGGACACAGAAAATACGTAAATATTCTTTGATATGGCTCTAACTTCTCATATGTTCTAAATTCCCATAAAAAGAATAATATGCCCTCTTTCTGTCTGCCTCATAGAACTGAAGAAGGCAATGAAATCTGTAAAGTACTTGTATCTCCTAGACGCTGTAAAGGATAATGTATCATTAATCATTATGCTGTTGTCATTAATCATTTTATTAGGGAATTACTTCAAAGAAGGAGAAATAAATTATATGGTATTTGACTGAAAATCCAGGCCACATTTTAAATACACTAATTACAAAGAAATATGTAAAAGAAATGAAATTATTACTTAAAATGAAAGCTGGAAAAGCACTTCCTTTAAAAATACCCAGTGTATAATTTTCATCAGCCAAGCTTCATTAGTGAGTTAATTGATTAAATGTTTCTGGATGTAATACTTCACAGTTTTAACCCTTATGATTCTTTTTTCAATAGATAAAGACTGAAAGTTTGCTTGTCTAAAATTATGAATATGTCATGAAATTTATGTATGTCATTTCCTGTACTTTGCAAAATTAACTTAAAAACAGATTATAAATGTATACTAATGATAAGGAAGCACTAAAATTAGGCATTTCTCCTATCATCAGTAGAAGGTCTTGAGATCAGAGGCCTCAAAAGAGTAGTTTTGTTCTCACTGTTTGCACATAACAGATTGTACATGTTCTTAATAGAAATGCATATTACTTCTTTTATGTAAAGTTATTCTTATATGTCATGTATATATTTAGACCATTATTTCTTGAGTGCCCTCACTACTAGGGAAAAGTGAGGCACAGATTATACATAGGGGAAAAATACAAATAATTAAACAGTGTATACAGAGAATTTTTATGTTTGTAGAATATTCTTAGAATAATCTCAAACTCTTTACCACTTCCCTGCAAAAAAAAGAATAAGCTTTGTCACTCCTCTCTGTGTTGAGTGACGGGCCACCTCTGGCTTAGCCACTGCAATTGGTTATTTCAGTCTGTTCTAGGAAAAAGGCGGGATATGTGTACCTTGAAAAATTCCTACAACAGATTTTCCATTTAATAGGTAAATGGCATTCATTATATTTTTGTTGTTTGATGGCTTTTATATAGTTTCTTGGAGTAGAATTCTCAGGGGTAAAATCTATCATTACTTTGTATTTGCATCTGAGATATACTAGTTACAGATATTTGGGGGTCAAGAATTGGGGAAATTCAGAGCCGTATATCCTGATCTCTAACTGTAGCTATTTCCTGAACGAGGCAGAATGGTAATACCACGCATGATGGAGATAGTATGATGATTTTGGTGAGCTCAGAATTGTCTCAACATAATGAAAACCATTTGCCTATATAATCAACTATAATAAGCTGGAGGGGCTTCTGGGTGCCTCAGTTGGTTAAGCATCTGACTCTCAGTTTTGGTTTAGGTCATGAT